TCCCTCTGAGCACCCACATTAGCAACAAGGACAATGAGAGCAAGAAGCAACAGCAGCATAGGGGCTGTCTTGCCTAGCTCTTCCCCAACACACCCAGAAGATAGTGGTTGCCATAATCAAGGGCAGTGGTGATGGATATCAGCTCAGTGAGGTGTGGATCCAGTTGCCCCAGTACTGTGAGCTCATTCCTAGTCACAAGAACCACAACCTCAACAGCCTGTGCCAAACAAAACACAGACCTTCAACCTGGAGAGCTCTCTGACCTATGAAGACTCCAGTGTTCTGCATCATCTTCGCTAGTGTATGGCAGAAAGAGATAACGGGAGGAGCAAGGAGGAAGGCTTGGATCTGAGTCCTGCTTGGTCAAGTAAAGATCAAGCTCAGCCAGGAGGCACAGGATTGGCTGAAGGGGGCCACTGGCAGCTGAGCTGAAGGTCCTGGACCAAGCCAGTGGTGAGCGACAACAGTGAGGAGTAAGAGGACAGCTCAGGAAGTGTCAGTGAGGAAGACTGAGCCAGTCTTTCCAGAATCGAGACAGCATCACCCTTAACAGCAACAGGCAGCCGCAGCAGTCATTTCAGACTTGGGGTAAAATTGTATAAATGAAGATTATCCATATTTATATGGCAGAGAACATGTAGGATTATTTGTTTCTTGCTCTGTTCTAAAACCAGTAGCATTTGTAACACTATTAACTGTTTAAAACAAGAAAAAATAACTGAGTTGGGGGAAACACGTAACACCTGTTTTTCTTTTCCTTTTTTAATAGGAACTCTTTTAAAAAATATATATTTTATTGATTTTTTACGGAAAGGAAGGGAGAGGGACAGAGAGTTAGAAACATGGAAATGAGCCTGTAACCAAGGTACATGCCCTTGACCGGAATCGAACCTGGGACCCTTCAATCCGCAGGCTGACACTCTATCCACTGAGCCAAACCAGTCAGGGCTGTTTTTCTTTTCCTTCTTGGCAGTACTGTTGTGACTGCAGTTTAGAGTCACTGTAGTTAAAACCAAGAACAAAACAAAAATAATAGCAAAAATGTGGCAGACTCACTACAGGTGCAAGCTGGATTTTCTAGTGTCTTAATCACAATTGAGTAAATGAAGATCAAGACCTCCCATGTGGATCATCTGGGTTCCACACATATTCTTCCCCATGTGTAATGCATGTAATAGCAGCCCTACCTTCTCCACTGTCAAGACATGGTTTCTCCCTGTTCCTTCTGGTTCCTAGACACAAGGACTCCAAGGTTCCCAGAAATCATCCATACTTTATAATCTAATGGAATAAGTTCTTGTGTCCCTGGTGAGTGTCCCTTTTGGGGACCATAACTCTAGCCTGGCAGTCTAAACTTGGGAGGACAGCAAGCACAATGTTCCCAGGGGATTCTTAGGAATGATGATAAGTGGGGCCACTCCTGTTTCCACCCTTTGGTTTTAGACTCATGTATCCTCCCTCTTGGGAACAGTGCCATAGAAAGGTCTTGAATGGCATCCCATCTTCAGAGTGTGATCTCTAACTTGTGCCTTAGCTGGCTGTCCCAGTGCTGTCAGGAAGTGGTTCTCATGATCCCTGCACTTCATTTACTAAGTGAATCCCCTGTTTGATGTGATGCCATATGGGATCCTGTGTCAGTGAAACAAGTACTCCTGAAGCCCTTATTAGTGACACTTGTGAGAAAAGGAAAACTTATATATAGAATACGAACCTATTCCTGTAGGAAAGAACTGTTGGCTTGTCCAGGATGAAAGAGTTCCAATATAGTAAACTTGGTTAGGCTTCTTGATGAAAAGGGCCATTTTGGAAGCTCAGCGTTGGTCTTTTTGCTGGCAGGTTAGACATCCAGTGGCTGCTAGGAGCTAAATCAGCTTTGGTCAGAATCTACCCTGTTGGGCACATGAATGGCTTCCAACTCCATCATCTTGGCCATTTTGTCCTTGTACCCAGTACTGGGTTTGCCAGTGAGATGCTGTCCATTGTCCACTGTGTGAGTCATTCCATTTGGTTTTTAAATACTTTCATGGATGCTCTGTGGTGAGCATTAGCATTAGCACTTTATACAAAGATCATCCCATTTGGTACCTATTCCAGTATATTGACCCACAAATTTTTACCATAGGTCTCCTCTCCAACTTCCAATTATTTTTCTCCAGATCCTTAACCAGTCACCCAGGCCACACAACACTGTTCATGAATCCATATATAGCTTCCCCTTGGGTCACTTCTTACACAAAAAAGTGAATGATTAGGAGCTCTGTTGGATGGCTATGCCCTTACCAGTAGCTTTCAAGGCTACCTAAGTGAGGCTGTAACGTAGCTGCTGTCCAGATTCCTTTTAAACTCGCATATCAAGCCAGGCCATCTATGAACCCAGCTTGTTTTCCTCTTCTGTCAGCTAACTGGTCATAAATCTCCCCCATGTAGTCATAGGTATGAAATGACAGAGAAGGCTTTAATACAACAGCAGTGGATGCCATCTGGGTCTAGGATACCTATTCTGCACTCACCTGTGACCGCTGTACATTTTCATGCTCAGTCTTGAATACTTCCATCCTATGATGGATTAATGCTGGGACCAACCAACCAACCTTATGATGTGGTGAGTTGGACAGAACCCTTCTCATAATGAGTGGTTTTAGCTGCATGGTTATTTGGTGTCTCCAGTTCAGGTGTTCCATCTCTCTCTATTGGAACACAGTAGCACACCAGGATACTCCCCCACCCTGTGCACCCCGCCCCTAAAGACACATAATTCTCTGCTCCCAGTGGCATGGCAGAACCTCAGCATCCCGCATTTGGGACATTCCGGAAACACCACATTGCATTGTTCCCTATCACCAATAACTAATACCAACTGCTAGACCATATATAATAGTTCAGGCAGGACAGCTACTTGCATCACAGCTTTTACCTATTACAGAAGCTTCCTGTTCTGAGCTCTTATCAAAGCTGCAGGCTTCCAAATCACCTAATATTTGGTCCAGAGCAGTATTTCTAAGAGTATGCTGCTTCCAGAACCTGAAGTCCCCACAGTGTCCTGCTTTCTGAATGGTTGAAGGTGCAAGTTGCAATACTTGTCTTTTATTTTTGGAAAGGATGCCCAAAGGCACTACTAACTACTGGACCCCTAAAAATGTTATGGATGTAACTGGTTCCTAAATTTGGAGAGGGTTTACCTACATAATGTTATTAATGTAATGGAACAACGTAACATTATCCAGGATGTCTAAGTGGTCTTGATGTCTTTGGACTATGAAAGGTAACACAACTTTCAGGCAAAACTGTATCTTTTTTATACCTAAATAGGAAATATTTTTGATCTTCTGATAGGGACAGAAAAGAATACACTCATCAAATCAATAGCCACCTACCACATCCAGCATAGGCTTCTCTCAGAACTATTATACAACTTAGTTTAGTTTGCAGTAGTATTATCTGACAGATCCTCCCTTCCCTCAGTTGATGGACAGATGTAAACCCCACCTGCGGCCAGACATTCCTGAGCTCTAATACCCCCCCCCCCCCCCCATTCCTAAGTCCCTAGGTCCCTAATCAATCAGTGTGTGTGAGTGCCCTAAGCCCCGCCCTCTATCCTTAAAGGTGCTTGTAAGCCCCTGGCTCGCTCTCTTCCGCACCTCTCCGTGGAAGCAGCCGGCAGGGGTACCCTTCCCTTCAATAAAACCTGTGTCCTGCCATCCCGGTCTCCGGTCTACCTTCTCTATTTAATCTATCATTATCCTGTTATCTTCCAGGATCCTTCCTATTTCTTCAGGGGTCATGCTGGTGAATTAGATTTTGGGGACCACCACTTTGCATCCTTTGGATCTTATCATAAAAGTGGCATCAATTCTCTGCCATCTGGATGTGATGATCTTGGTAGGTATGGGATTAGTTTCAAAGGGTGCTGCGTGGCCTTTCCTATTGTGATTGCTCTAAACCTACAGGTCAGGGACCCAGTGTGAGAGGAACGTTAAGTGCCAAGAATGTCAATGTCAATTATTCAGTTAGGGATCACCCAACGAGTCCACCCTTGCATATGCAGACACACTTCCCGTGTGTATGCGAGGACCAGCTCCTTCCGGATCCTATGGGCCTTTCTGTTTAGGGTCTGGAGGAAAACAGAAGTTGGGGACGATATCTGTAGTAGATATGTGTTGGTCAGCTATCCTCGCACTTCCCAAAGTCACCCCAGGATCTGAATGGCTACCGTAGCTCCTTCGTGATCAGTATCAAAGGCTGCTTTGAAAAGCAATGAGTTTCATCAAACCCTGGGGAAAACGCCTGGCCCTCACATCCGCGATTACCCCTGCAGCAATGCGGCGCCAGGACGGTCACTGTGCCCAGGGTGTCCCAGCGGGCTCCGGGAACCAGAGAAGCCCCGGCAGAGCAGCCACCGTGGTGGGCAGGCTCCCCTGACCCCAGGACCAGGTGTGGAGGCCACTGCAGCCTCGCCCCAAGGGGCTTCCCGCGCCCAGAAAACTCAGATCCAAAGGAGACTCAGACCCCGCGCAGAGCCTACCGGGAGTAACGCTCTCCCGCTTCTCCCAATAGGAGTTCGGAGCGACCTCGCCGCGACCTCGGGACCAATGGGAGAGAGCCATCGGTGTTGCTGGGCGGGCCCGGGACGCCCAGCCCCGCCCGCGACCGGATGCGCACGCGCGCTCCCCCATCCCGCCCTTCACGTCGCGCACGCGCACTCGGCGTAGGTACCTCGGAGCTGTCGGGGGCGCGCGGGGCGGCGGCCGCGCTGGAGGTGCTGCCCGCGATCGTGCCCGCGCCCGCGCCCGCGCCCGCAGCGGTGCGGAGCCGCTCGGGCCGCGCCCCTGCCCTGCCGTCCGCGCTGCCCTCCGGGCCGATGCGGGTCGCTGGGCTGCGGGGAGCGACGTAGCCGCCGCCTGCGCCGCCGCTCGGACCCCGGCCCGACCCTGTCCCCGGACCTGCCCGGGCTCGAGGTCGCCTGGCAGTCGCGGGGCGCGTCCCGAGCAGGCGAGGGGGCCATGGCCGACCGCGGGTGCCCGCTGCAGCCGGTGCCCCTGCCCGCTGAGGTGCGGGAGAGCCTGGCCGAACTGGAGCTGGAGCTGTCGGAAGGTGAGCGGCTCTGCCGGGGGCTCCGCCCGGCTCTCACCTCCGACCCGGGACCCCCGCCATGCCCCTCACACCGGGCACCCTGCCCCGCCCCTCACCCCGGCCCGGGACCCCCCCCCCCCCCCGCCGCCATGCTCCTCACACCGGGCACCCTGCCCCGCCCCTCACCCCCACCCGGGACCCCCCCGCCCCCCGCCATGCCCCTCACACCGGGCACCCTGCCCCGCCCCTCACCCCGGCCCGGGACCCCCCCCCCCGCCGCCTTGCTCCTCACACCGGGCACCCTGCCCCGCCCCTCACCCCCACCCGGGACCCCTCTTCCCCCCCCCCCCGCCATGCTCCTCACACCGGACACCCTCCCCGCCCCTCACCCCCAACCGGGACCCCTCTTCCCCCCCCCCGCCATGCTCCTCACACCGGACACCCTCCCCGCCCCTCACCCCCAACCGGGACCCCTCTTCCCCCCCCCCCCCGCCATGCTCCTCACACCGGGCACCCTGCCCCGCCCCTCACCCCCTCCCCCCCCCGCCATGCTCCTCACACCGGGCACCCTGACCCGCCCCTCACCCCCACCCGGGACCCCCCCCCCCCCCGCCATGCTCCTCACACCGGGCACCCTGCCCCGCCCCTCACCCCCACCCGGGACCCCCCCCCCCCCCGCCATGCCCCTCACACCGGGCACCCTGCCCCGCCCCTCACCCCCACCCGGGACTCCCCCCCCCTCATGCTCTTCACACCGGACACCCTCCCCGCCCCTCACCCCCACTCGGGACCCTCCCCCCATGCTCCTCACACCCGGGCACCCTCCCCGTCCCTCCCCCCCCCCCCCGGGACCCTTTTCCTCCCCCCCCCACCATGCTCCTCACACCCGGACACCCTGCCCCGCCCCTCACCCCGGACCCCCGCCTCGCCCGGCCCGCCGTCACCGGGGAGCTTGCCTGGCCCTCACACCGGGATCTTAGGGTCCCCGGGCCCCTCCCGGTTTCTCGCAGCCGGAGCCCGGACCTCGGGGTGCCCGGCGGGCAGCCGGGGTGGGTGGCTGACCCCCGGCGCGTGGACCGGACCGGTGCCGCGGGCGGTGGCTGCACCCGGGCAGCTGCCGCCTCGTGGGAGCCCGCTCCCGCCCTGTGCCTCAGTTTCCTCCGCGGAAAACCGGCTAGGCAGCATCTCCCTCCGTGGAGGCACTCACAACGAGGCTGTTAGCCCGTTAATAGAATTTTTAGAAATTTAAAAGAAAAGTTCCTTAAGTGTTTTTTTTTTTTTTTGCTTGTTAAAAAATAGACCTGAGTGATTCCGCTTCAGTGGCGCTGGATGGCATTATCCTTCTGGAGGTTATTGCTCCCCAGACCTGTGTCCTGATATTCTGTTTGATGTCATTGCTTAAAGAAAAGCATCTAATGTCTGAGTTTGTTTCTGAAAGTTAAGTGCATTTTCAGTTTTTAGAATCCATAAAAGTTCACAGCCTTAATATTCCTACACTAGGTTTCAGGGTGATCTGTTTCGCGTGGTTGGGGCAGGGACTTCTTACTGTCATGTAATAAATACGCACTGGCTTTACTAACTCATTTAGTCCTGCCAACCTTAGGGAGGTCGGTGCTATTGTTATCTTTGTTTCCTAGACAATACAACACCTACCAACCTGCAATCGTTTTGAATTCAGTGCAAATTTTTAGAAGTTCTGTGATATGGGACACATTTTTTTTTTTTTTAATTCAAGTGCAGTAAGAAATGGGTAGATTTGAGAATTCTTGGTGATTAAATGTTTTGGGGAAGTCTGAAAAACTCCAATTTAGAAATGGTTCTGATAGGAACGATTTGTCTTGAATTTGTTATAGCTTTCCTTTCCTTTTTTTTTTTTTTTTTTTTTTTTTTGTTAATCCTCATCTGAGGATTTTTTTCCTAGTGATTTCTAGTGAGAGTGGAAGAGAGGGAAAGCCAGAGAGAAACATCAGTGCAAGAGAAACACACCAATTGGTTGCCTCCTGCACCAGGGCCTGGGCGAGGGAGGAGCCTGCAACCAAGGTATGTGCCCTTGACTGGAATTGACCTGGGACCCTTCAGTCCGGAGGCCGATGTTCTATCCACTGAGCAAAACAGGCTTGGACTTGTTATAGCTTTCCATCAGGGAAAATCATGTCAATGCAATTTAGATTTTATGAATTTGAAATATGTTTTTGCAGATTGCTCCTAATTTCTGTGCCCATGTATTCATTATTCTCTAATTTTTATCTATCTATCTATCTATCTATCTATCTATCTATCTATCTATCTATCTATCTATGTGTGTGTGTGTGTATTTGAGTACTTTCTAGGAGTTGATGATTAGGTAATATTAGATCTTTTCCTCAAAGAACTTCATAATTTCTGTGACAGAACCCACACAAAGTACTTCAGTGAAAGAAACGCTCCTCTCTAATGAATCTATTTATACCTTTGTCATTTTAGACATAGGTGGATGATTTATACAAAAGTATAGATAAGTGGAAAGGAACCTGGAAAGGTAGCTGAGAAAGGGGGTGAACAAGGTGTCAAAGGGAAGGGACAGCAGAGTGAAGCTGCAGCGGAGGAGACAGGAGCCCTGGCGTCTGTCCCAGCTCTTCCATGGCCTGACACCTTTCTTTTGGCCCAAATAGGTCAGTGATTACTTGGATACAGTCATGCTTGGCCTTGCTCCAGGTGCTTCCACACCTTTGATGCTGGCTTCTTTAGTTTGTGTTGAGATTGTTGTTGACATGGGGCCTCTCTATTGTACGTAAAGATGCTGTGCGATAGGGACTATGACTTGGCAGATTTTTGACATTTTCACACAGTGTCTGGTAAGTGTCCCTGAATTTCCACTGAATTATAACATCTCTTAATTTGGATTTGATCATCTGCAAAAGGAGGTGAACATCTGCCATATTGACGTCCTATAGTTCTTACTCAGATTTACTCAGATCGTGTATGTGGAAGTTCTTTGAAACTGGTAAGGTTTTATTTATATAATTAAAGGAAGATGTTAATAATGATGCACAGTCCTAAAGCAACTAAAGTTAGTTTCGTTATCATTAGTTTAATATTCTGATCACATAGAAGTAAAAAGTGGGATTCACTTTGTTCTGTGCCACCTCCCTCCACCTGCCCCCTTTTTTTTTGGGGTGGGGGAGATAAACTTTAATTCAGAATAAAGTAATGGTCAAATAAGATAACTTCACAGTACTCAAATTTGTCTGAATGAGACATTGCTTACAAGTTAGAGTCGAGGCAGGCCTGCATGGCTCAGTGGTTGAGTGTCGACCTATGAACCATGAAGTCACGGTTCCATTCCTGGTCAGGGCATATGTCTGGGTTGTGGGCTCAATCCCCAGTGTGGGGGGTGCAGGAGGCAGCTGATTAATGATTCTCATCATTGATGTTTCTATCTCTCCCTCTTCCTCTCTGAAATCAATAATAACATATTTTTAAGAAAAAGTTACAGTTGACACTGCTTGGCAGATTGGAGAGAATAGGAAACTTAACAGACAAAATGCTGCTTACATGGAAGCTAATAGTGATTGATCGGTACCTGAACAATCTGGAAAATCCTGCATTACTTCCCCTCAACCTGTATATCAACAGTGACTAGTTGGAAGTATGTTCCTGCCTTTATTATAACTCATATGTAGCCTTGTTCTTCAACATCCTCACTGGATTCTTATCATCCACCATTGTCATTGGGGAAGGTTCTGGTGTTAGAATGCACTGATTTCTACCTATAGGGCAGGTTTGCTGACTTTCGTTAGGGCAACGGTCGCCAAACTCATTAGTCCACAGAGCCAAATATCAACAGTACAACAATTGAAATTTCTTTTGAGAGCCAAATTTTTTAAACTTAAACTATATAGGTAGGTACATTGTTATTAACTTAATTAGGGTCCTCCTAAGCTGGCCTTTGCTAAAAACTCAAGGGGCCAAAGAGCCACATGTGGTTCGCGAGCTGCAGTTTGCCGACCACTGCATTAGGTTTTCTGAAGAAAATAAAGCACAGCTGTGGTCTTGCTCCCTAAATTTCCTTCTTGGGAGTCTACCTCAAATTAAGATGAGGATGAAGGGTGGAGCTGCACAGATCCCCACTCTTTCTCAGGAGCTGCACAGAACTCCATCCTACCCCACCTGCCATGAGCACAACTCAGAAGAATTCACATATGTGGCTCTTCGAAACATATTAGGATGTCCTTGGATGAAAATGAGGTTATTAGAAGTGTAATCTGACTTTTTAGGGGAGAAAAAAATTCCAAACAATGGGCTTTACTCTCAAGTTACCTTAGATATACCACAACTAATTTTGGTACTGTACAGTGTCTTCTAAACTGTTTTAAAAATGTGAACAATGGTGCAAGATTTGTTTTTTGCTTTAGTAGCTTGCTGTGGTTTAGAGAGGAAATCCCTACACAATAGGCTACATTTGTCCCACTCCTGTTTCTTTATTCTGGTTAATAGATCTGTTCCCTAACTTTAACTCTTGTTTTTTGTTTTCCTGCATTCTGATAATACTGGAGCCCCAGACTGTATAGTGCCAAAGGAAAAGGGGGAAAGCTCTGTGTGTGGGTGTAGAGGAAAGGATTTCTTTCACAAAGCTTTTACTCCTATTTAAATATCTTTAATTTATTTTTTTAAAATATATTTTATTGATTTTTTTACAGAAAGGAAGGAGAGGGATAGAGAGTTAGAAATATCGATGAGAGAGAAACGTAGATAGCTGCCTCTAGTACACCTCCTTCTGGAGATGTGCCCACAACCAAGGTACATGCCCTTGACCGGAATCGAACCTGGGACCCTTCAATTCGCAGGCTGAACGCTCTATCCACTGAGCCAAATCAGTGATTTAGTTTCTGAAATTTGTGATCTAATTCTTAGTTTTCCAAATGACAGATTGACAATGTCTTCACATCAATAAACTTTTGCTGTGCTTCCTAAATATTTTGTGGTAAATTAAAGTTCTTTATCTAAACTCTATTCATTTATGTTAAAGCCCAGCCCAAATG